GTGGGGGGGATGTTTATCTTTTGACTGCATTAGCTCTGTTTGTGTGCTTGGAGCCTATTCCACTGTCCAAATCTTACGATTTGAGGGCTCCGAGTACTGCTGTTAGATCATATTGGCACTGTGTTTTGATGGATGAATTGATTGGTTTTCGGATTAATGCATGACAACTTGTTTGCGACTAGGACAACCTATGATGAGGACTGAGATGTGCAGTAGAACGATGTAGGGGTTCAGTTTTTCAACTGTTTGCTTGCCAACTGTGACTTGATCTGACTTGATCTGATTACTTATCCTTGACAGTCGTTTATGCATCTAGTTCAGGGTATCAGAATGTGAGATAGAGCATATAGGTAGCCATGTGAGATTTGAGCCTGCTCGTTTCTTTCTTGTGCGATAGATCCCTCTTCCATGATGTGTAGCATTCACGTTGTCACTAGCTAAGATGATGGGGGCATAGGATTAGCCCACGCCCAAAACTGACTGTCCTGATGTGTCATATCCCCTAGTCAGCCCTTTGAGCCGTGTGTTATCCTTTCTTTTGGTCTATAATGAAAAAATCACCCTTGTTGCATCTTTTAGAAGGTTCCACAGAGTGGTTTTATATATTCTCTGCTGTTTCTGCTAAAGTCTATGTGAGTGTTGGAGGTAGTGCTTAAAAATTGGGCAGGTGTTTGAAATTTATGCAGAAGTGGGGGCTCTCTTAAGAAATGAAAAGAAAAATGAAAGAAAAACAAAGAAAAATTGAAAGCAAAAGAGAGTCACTACCAAAAATCTGAGTAATGCCTAGTAAGCAGTGTTTCTTAGCAGTCTGGCTTGGAAATGCTGATGATTATGCCTCCTTCGCTCTTGTGCTCTTAAGATATTGAGGAATGCAGAATAGCAGAAAGAAAATACCGGGTTGGTTGACTGTGATTGTGTGTTTGGAAAATGTGGAACCTTTTTGCTATGAATACTTCCACCACCTAAAAGGCTTTTTCCCCATGTCCAAGACCCTAGCCAGTCATTTGAACCTGTGTCTAAGACCTCCTGATTAGTTAGTGGTGACACCCCATATGTGAACTCTAGCATTTAGAGGCTGCCATCATGGTGAAGAGATGATAGGGATTGAGAGAAATAGCATGCGCATCTTTCGCATCAAAAATTGTCCTGACCCCACTGGTCGAGAGTGAGTGATTCATTTCCATTTTCTATATGCTCTTGTACCCCGGTGAGGACCTAGATTGCTCGTCTCTATTCTGATGTTTTGAGTTGGATGCATGAGTCGACTGTTTTGAGTAAGTGGTTGAATCAAGTCTAGGTTGGCTAGTGAACAGACGGGAGACTCTTCCTTTACTCGATTTGCTGCACTCGAATGTCCTTTGTGGTGGTTGTCCAGGTTGTTATTGAGGTTGTGCATGTATTGATGTTTGAAAACCAGTGCGATTCACGTGTTTTGTGCCTTTATGACTTGTCCCTAGTGTTGGTTGATTGATTTGTAAGCTTACCTAGTGTCTGACTTGGTTTGCTTGGGGACAAGCAAACGGTTAAGTGTGGGGGAGTTTGATAGACCGATAATCATACATGTTTTCACCCCTATTCTGAAGTCGTTTGTGATGAGGAATCTCGTATTTTAAGCCGATTTCACGCTAGGTTGTGCTTGTTTGTGTTATTTCAGGTCCTGGCGTTGGAATCGAGGCAAAGGAACGAGTTCCGGATCGAAAGGAGCGAAGATTGGACAAAGGATGCTGCTGGACCAAAATACCCGGTCAAAGGAAGAAATACCCGACCGGGTATATTCTGGCCTCGACCGGGTATTTCCTCCTTCGGGCACCCGTGAGAAATAGAAGGGGGCCCGGGCGATGGCGATAAATCCCCGGTCGGGGATTTTGGTGGTAGATCGGGGATTTTCCCCTTTAGTGGAACGGTGCGTTTCGAAATACCCGGTCAAACCATAAAATACCCGACCGGGTATTTCGACCGGGTATCGCGGGGTCAGCTGATAAAAGAGGAAGAAGGCCAATTTTCAAAGGGTTCCGAGTTTTTGAGAGAGAAATCGATTCCTAGAGAGAGAAAGCGTCGAACCAGAGTTCTCAAGCGCCATAGATCGATCTTCAACACCATTGGAGCCCGTCTTGAGCTTGGAGAAGTGCGATTAAACGTCCAGAAGCAGGAATCCAACTTCACAGTATGATTTCCGTGTCTGAATCTGCTTTTGCTTCTTTCTCTATGGAGTAGTTTCCCCATTCATCTGGGTATGGAGAACCCTAGATTTGTATGCTAGGTCTGATTGTATGAACCCAAGTACAGTGTTTGTGAATTGATTATATTCGATTGAGGTTTGAATGATTGAATGACTTGAATCCTGATCAAATTCCTGTTGTTTCTGCTTTGACCTGGAATGAGAATATCTGCCTAGGTTGATAGAGTACCCTTAATCGAAGGTGGCGAATTGGTGACTTTAGTCGAGGAGCCAATTCGCTATTCTGTACCGAAGTTAATTCGGTAGTGGAGGTTTGGTTCATTAGGGCCTCAATCTGTTTACTCCGGTGGAGGTTAGTCGCCCGCTAGAGACTCAGATTGAGAGGGTCTGGAGACCTTTAGTCGAGACTTAAGGCTAATTGAGAACCTTCCGCAGTATAACTTTCATGAAAACTGAACTTGGCAAATTACAATCCGACTTAACTGCAGTCTAGGGGGAAACCATATCCGGGTGACCTCTCTTGACTTGACAACAAACCGTTTACTTGCTCTGTGTTTTGTTTGCTTGAGTTTCACTAAAAGTTCACTGCTAAATAACAAGAATTCACCGAGTAGTCATCACATCTAGGACCCGGGTTGACATTAAAACCCGACCCGCTATACTACGCTTTAGGAATTGGTTATACTTGGCCATTTTCTAGGGTGACAGTAGGAGTGAGTCAGTGAGTGAGACCCAATTCCTGACACGATCGAAAATATACGAAGGGCGCAGCAAGTGAGGTGATGTGCCTCAAACCCCTAAGCATGGTGTCAAACGATTGAGGCACTTGGTAAAGTGAAAGTATGATGCATTTATTACGGTGATGACATAGGACGGATTTGGGGGGCGACAGTCGGCAAGGCTCTAGGTATAAATATGAGAGTAGATAAACCTCATTTATTTAGTTTTGATTTCTCTCACTAAACTTTCCTTAGCTTCTTTATCTACATATGGGGTGCTAACTTGAGCGTCGAAGTGCTAGTGGACCGCACAGGTCCGTTGTGCGCCTTGTGTGTAGGGTGCTACACGTCTTACGACCGGGAAGAGGAAGGTAGGGGACACACACTCGCGGAGAGGATGAACTTAGCTCAAACACTTACTGTTTCATAGTATTTGTATGTGTGCTTTCCTAAAATCTGCACAATGAACCCACTGGTACATTGTTTTTCTTATGTTACCCAACTCCACACCGAGCCAAACACAACATTACCAGTGTTACAAATTTAGGTAAAAAGTATATTGAATTTGTTGATTGGATTAAATAGATTTGAGTAGGATTACATTCGTGGATGCAGTACAAATTGGATTAAATAGATTTGAGTAGGATTACATTCGTGGATGCAGTGATTCTAAACTTTGGACCATTATGAATTTTTTTTAATGTTTAGATACTATAATGTCATTATAAAAACTATAGTGCAAAACCATAATTTTTGAATAATATTTTTCATTAAAAATGTAGAATTCAGGTGAAATTATAATTTTGAGGCACACAGCATCTAACTACAAAATCTTAAGAAACCAAGATCTAGAGCCGCCATTTACTTATCATCTAATGTTTTAGAATTAATAAAAAATAAATGAGCCAATTTGGTAACTTTGACATATTTCTATATATATATTTTTTTTTTCTTCTACCGGGAAACGGATCAAGTCAGTAACCCTATGATCAGTAATCATGAGTAACATGTCCACATCAGTATGACATCAGTATCATCTCTATCCTAGAAAGTCTTTTATCTATTCCCCTTTAATCTTTAACAGACGATTTCTCTCTCGTTTTAAGTCGAAATTTAATTTTTTTTGCACAGATAAATCAGATTAAATGTGCTCTTTAAAATGATATCAACTTTGATATATTTTTAGTACAAAAAAAATTGAATAATTTTTTACCAGTCATTACCATATGGTATGCTCCTATTTAATACCATATGGTAAGAAAGCGTACCATGATGGTAAGAAGGTTGAATACATGATAATAGGAGTATACTAACTGTCATTTACGACTTTCATCATTGTTTACTACAAGTTACTACCCACATACCATAGTGGTAAAGTATGGTAATTTTTTATCCAGTATTTTTTTCACCCAGAAATTTAAAGATCCAATAGATCATGATGAACTCATTCCTTCTAAGCAAACGTTTTAAAAAACGACTTAAAAACAAAAAAGTTACCATATGATATGTAGTTGGTAAAAAAAAGGTTTCTCGAAATATATTGAAAATTGATCTCATTTTGTAGAGCACAACGAACTCGTTCCATCTATGAAAAAAAAATTGAAATCCGAGTTAGAACGAAAAAGATAAGAGCCGATTAAAAAAACTTGGAAAAATAAAATGACTTTAATTGACAACCCTTAGATCTGAATTTTCTGGATTCACTTAGATTTAAAGGTCCATATTTAGTTACTCATAGATCAGTAACCACCCTATCCTAAGCCCCGAACAGGGATACAGAGGAGAAAGAATATAATTTTGACCAATCAAAGCTATCTTTTTAAATCCACTATTTTCCTTAATTGGACCATCATTCATTTTAACTCAAAATTTAAAAAATTTACATAAAAAACACATTATTATGATCTACACAATGATTGTAGTTAATTATCACTTCAATACACTTGTTGAGACTAGTATTATGATTAACATTATTATATGACTATAGTCCCTTCAGGGACATCCAATAAAAATTATATGACAATGGTATCATGACATTGCATGCATTTAAACATGAAATTAATTTTTTTTATAGACCTCATTAATTATGATATATACAATAATATTTATTTTATTATGTTTGAGCAAAAAAATTCTCTATTAAAAAAAGTATTTAGTCTTTTTTTTTAACATCTCATCATTGTCATATCAGGATCAGTATTTGGTCTCCACTTCCTACTTCGCAGAACCATCCATCCATCATCTTGGGACATCCAAACATTGGATTGTTGAAAATTCGTTTCCCTTTCGATGAAGAGACCTTGGTCGAGAAGTGCAAGGACATCGGAAGAGTTCTGAATTTAGAAGGCAATGAAGGCGAACGAACAACAGAGGAGGTGATTTCACAAGCTGCAAAAGAAATGCACAAAAGAAAGGTTAGAAGTTCAAGATCTAAGCTGGAAATGGAAAAACATAGACTGGGTTCATAGGGGCCATCTCCGATTGGCCCGAGGAGGTGCAAAAGAGGGAGGGGGAGTTTTCAAGTTGAAGTTTGATCAATGAGTTCCGCTATCTGTTTCTGGAATGTCAGGGGTTTGGGCGACGCAGATAAGAGAGGCAGAATCAAACGACTTGTCGGGAGACATAATCCGAAGATTGTGGGTCTTGTCGAAACCAAATGGGCTCAATGTTCGGATAGGTTGATCAGAAGCATTTATAGCAGAAGGGACTGTGGTTGGGTGGCAAAGGACGCTAGAGGAAGTTCGCGGGGGATTGCTGTGATATGGGATAAAGTGTTCTTCGAAAAAAGGTCCTGCCGGGAAGGAAATTTCTGCATTGCGATCGAGCTAAGAGATTTGTGTAATCACATAGATTGGCAGCTGGTCGTTGTCTACGGTCCGCAGGAAAAACAAGACAAGCTTGATTTCTTGAGGGAGCTGCATTCTTTTTGCCACCATCAGTCGATGCCGGTTTGTGTCGCGGGGGATTTTAATTTGGTCAGATGCCACAATGACTATGTAGGTGCGAGACGCAACTCCGAGTTGATGGGGGAGTTTAACGCGTTCATCGATGGCAACGGGCTTATTGAGCTACCTCTTTGTGGTTGCAAGTTTACTTGGAACCATGGCGCGAACAGTAGGCTCTTCTCGAGGATTGACAGAGTGTTTATTTCTCAGGAGTTCGACCGTTTGTACCCGGACTGCGTTCTGACGGCTATGGAAAGAATCGAATCTGATCACAATCTTATTGTCTTGAAATGGGGAGAGAACAAGCAAGTAAAAAGGCCGTGGCGATTTCAGAACATGTGGCTGGAAGATCCTAGATTTTTCCAAGAACTTGAGAAGTGGTTGGGAGAGAACGTGCAGGGTACAGGAGATATCTTTATATTCGCAAGGAAGCTACACTTGATAAAAGCTAAACTTAAAGTTTGGAACAAAGAAGTTTTCGGTAATATTGATAAAAGGGTGGAAGAGCTTCTTAGCATGATCAAGGATCTGGAAAGGGCTGAAGAAGAAAGAATTCTGCAGGATGGGGAAAGAGAAGAGAAAGCTAAGCTGGAGATTGATCTGAAAAGGGATTTGTTTCTTCAAGAGATTTGCTGGAGACAAAAATCCAGAGAAGTTTGGGTGAAGCTTGGGGACAAAAACAGCGGGTATTTTCATCAAATGGCAAACTACAAACGTAAGGTAAACAGAGTGGAAAAGCTTATGATTGAGGGGCGAACAGTTGATGATCCGGTTGGAGTTGCTACTGGGATTGTGCGGTTTTATCAGAATCTGTTCAAAGAAGATTTGGTGTCTCGACCTTTCCCATGTTGGGTTTGGGAACACCAACTAGAATAGTTGGATAAGATGCTGCTTTGCCGAGATTTCACGGAAGAGGAGATATGGAATGCTATTAGGGATTGTGACGGTAGTAAGGCTCCGGGACCTGATGGATTTACGATGGAATTCTATAAACGGGGGTGGAGCTGGCTGAAAAGCGAAGTTCTAAAGGTATTTAAGGAGTTTCATGGTACAGGTGCCCTTCCAAAGTGTGTCAAGCATTCGTTTGTTTGTCTGGCGCCAAAAAAGGACGTGGTTGAAGAAATCAAAGACCTCCGCCCGATAAACTTGATCGGAAGTATAAATAAATTGATAAATAAGGTCTTGTCCAAGAGATTAGGGGATGTTCTTCCAAAACTTATTTCCAAACAGCAGCACTCTTCCGTTAAAGGGAGGCAAATTACGGAGGCAGGCCTTATTGCGAACGAAGTAGTGGAGAGCAGGAGGAAGAGCAGAAAACCGGGTCTCATGTTCAAGCTTGATATATAAAAGGCATTCGATAATGTAAATTGGGGGTGTCTTTTGAAGATTATGGAGCTGATGGGGTTCCCAGATCGGTGGAGGAAATGGGTAAAAGGTTCGATGTTTGGTTACAATGTCTCTATACTCATTAACGGTGAAGCTAACGGTTTCTTCCCGGTCTCCAAAGGTCTTCGCCAAGGGGACCCCATTTCGCCAGGGCTGTTCGTGATGGTGATGGATGTGCTCTCCTTGATGCTGGAAAAAGTGAGAGCTAATGGGAAGTTCGAGGGCTTCTTCATGGACGAGGGTAAGAAGACCGGGGAAGTAACGCACCTGCTTTATGCTGATGACACCCTAATCTTCTGTGATGCGAAATATGATCAGGTACTGAATATTCTGGCTACTTTAGTGATGTTTCAAACTGTGACGGGATTGCGGATTAATTTGGAGAAATCAGTAATGTATCCGGTGGGGGACGTTGCTGAACCGAGTTATTTTGCTGCAATTTTCGGGTGCAACTGGAGTTGTGAGGTTCCGAAGTATCTTGGATACCCCTTGGGTGCGAAACCAAATGACAGTTCGGTTTGGGATGGAATAGTTGGAAAATATCAAAACAGGCTTAATGGGTGGGGAAGTAGAAACCTGTCTTTTGGGGCGAGACTTGTCCTCATTAATGCGGTCCTCTCCGGTTCGCCAACTTACTTGTTTTCTCTGTTCAAGGCCCCTAAATCTGTCATTAAGGATCTTGAAAGATATCAAAGAAGGTTTCTTTGGAGCGGAAAATTGGAGAGTAATAAGATGGCTTTGATTGAGTGGGAGTGGTGTAAATCGCCTGTGAAGAAGGGAGGTCTGGGTATACACGACTTAGAGGCCTTCAACGACGCGATGCTGTCGAAATGGTTATGGAGATTTGCTAATGAGAGAGACAGCTGGTGGCGTGAGCTGATTAACTACAAATATCCGAATGATATGTCGTGTTGGCAGACTAAAAGGGAAAGAAAGGGTTTCTCCAGGTCAGTTTGGGCGAACATAAGTAAAGAATATGATTTGTTTTGGAACTATGCTGTGATTGATCCGGGAAATGGTACTCAAGTCTCCTTCTGGTACGATTGTTGGATTCCGGGGATTGTGCTGGCTGCTTCGTTTCCGCGCGTCGCTGCTGCTGTCCTTGGCCCTGAAGCCCGGCTCTCTGACATTGCAAATAACCAGGGTGAGTTGGTGAGTTGGAATTTTGTTTTCAAGTATAATTTGAGGGGTGGGGCAGCGAGGGAGAGGGATAATCTTTTTGATCTTTTAAATTCTGTGAATGTGCCGCTTTCTTCTCATAGTCCGTGCAGGGTCATTTGGAAACAAGAGGCAAATTCAAAGTTTTCGGTGAGATCTTTATACATGGAGTTAGTCGGGAGTCACTCAAGAGAGATTGAAGAGTTCCCAGCGAAGTTGGTGTGGATCTCGTGGATTCCGAGTAAAATATGCTTCTTCACTTGGCTCGTTTACCATAACAGAGTGTTAACTCTTGACAATTTAAAGAAAAGAGGCATGTCCATGGCGAACAGATGCGTCTTATGTAAGAAGGAAGAGGAGACTGTTCACCATATGCTGGTGGAATGTGAGTTCGTTAGGAAAATTTGGAATTTGATGAATGGCAGGCGAAGCAGGACACCGAGTTGGAATGGGGAGATAGCTCAAGTATTAGCAAATTGGGATTCTGCAGATGGAGACGGAATCGAGAAGTGGTTTGATGGATGTATATTTCAATCCATTTGGTGGGCGGTGTGGCTCGAGAGGAATCAGAGGACGTTCGTAGACAAAGAAATATGCTCGACGGTGGTGGGGAAAAGGGCAGCGAGGAAGGCAATCGAATGGATCGTGGTGAATGGGAAGGCGCAGAAAACAGAGGGGAGGATTTGGTTGAGGGATAAGGAATTAGTTTAACATTTGTCCCTGAGGGATTTATGGGTGCAGTTTCCCCGCGTGAGTCTTGATCACAGATTGATGTGGCAGAGGGTTGGTGGTTTGTTCGCTGCGTATTGTTTTCGGGTGGAGGTATTGGCTGAGTTGTGGTTGCTTTCTCAGGCTTTGGGGGGAGATCCTGTTTCGTCCGCGGGGAGGGACGCTCATGTTGGGGCGGTTGTTTTGTTTCTTGTTTGGGTGTCTGGGTTGGCTCCGACTCTTAGTCCCTGAGTCTGGGCGTAGTGTTTCTTCCTTTCTTTGTTCTTGTTGTCTCTATTTTTCTCCTATCTTTGTTCCTTTTTTCCTTTCTTCCCAGGATCATGTCTCCTGATCCTTGGTCCCTTTGTACAGTGTTATTCCTTTGTCTTATAAAATTTCATCATTATCAAAAAGAAAATTCGTTCATCTGATGGATGCTATTAAATCAGAAAATAGAAGAGCAACAACAAACCTGTTGCAACTACCATGTGGTTGCTCAATCGTCGAAAGCTGGATTCACCATTTTACTGAATAGCTATGATAGTTCATGCCTTTGTGACGAAACAAAATGATAATATTTGAGTAGCCTATGATAACTTTCTTTTACCATGAAAGCAGCAGGTGATTGAACCAAGGTGGTGCGTATGCTCTGCTAGCTTTATGAAGTGTCGTCCGATTCCAGCTGCTAGCCTGTGCCTACCTCGAAAAGGGCTCATCGATCAGTCCCAGCTTTTCCAGAATAATTTTCTCTTGCTTTGTATCTGAAAGTCGCCAGTTAGTTGGAACATGACTTCCTGCTTTGAGCATATTGAAGAAACCCATGTTTCGAAAGCATAAATCCATGTTTCGAAAGCAAAGAGCTAAAGTGATAAAGGATACATTCTTCATCAGGGTTTTCCGTGAAGTTTGAATGGAGCGCATTCCCAAAACTGTCCACTATGGCAGAGGTGGTCATCGATGATTCCATGCATAAGATGGCCATTATAGCATCCAACCGGGTAACCTCATTTCTGAACATTAGTCTGGCATGCGCTGCATCAACATTCAGATGATTGATCAAAAGTTAGAGACGAACAATGGCGGATGACAAATCAGAGTTTCATACATGAACATTACCTTGAGCTAATCGTATTAAGCTTTCAAGCATGCGAATGGTTGTCCTGGCTGCATATGACGTGACAGGATACAAAGTAAAACAACAGCAAGTATGCATCAATGACTGCAGATGAAAATATACGCTAATACTTTGAAGAGAAGAAATTTGCAGCTGAAGAACCTGCATTATCAGTTGCAGATCGCCTTTGAAGTTGAAAGTAGCTCGATATAACTTCCTCGGCCTCTGTAGTAAGGAGTGGTTTAAAGTACCCTTTCACAAAGTTAATGTACCTGCAAGATGATATAGCCCAGCTCATGTTCACTCATAAAATAAACTATTAAAAAATCCTGGGTGAAGGATGATGATCTACTTCCGAAGCATCGCCAGTGTCCAGATACTATCTGAATCTTCATGCGTTTTTAACTTTTCCTGCAAAGCGGATACAGAGGTAACATTCAATGCAACCAGGCATGGCGTGAAATTTACTGTAAATCATCCAAAACATTTTAGGACCTTAATTACCTCTGCAAGAATATGAGATGACACGACTTCATCCCATTCAGGATTTTTTGTATCCAAGAGGACTAGCACTATGTCGAATCTGCTCAATAATGGACCAGAGAGTGCCGTATTGACCGAAAGAGCTAGTTTGGGTTAAGAAAAATCTCAAGTCACTTATGAGTCTGCCCGCAAATCCGGTAAAAATAAGCCATTTTCATAAATCAAGGAACAAAGCAGAGAAATATTGACTACAAAGAATAGACACCAATCATCATTGCTTAAATGTCCAAAGTAGCAAACAAAGGTGCAGAAAAAAGAAGGTTTAGTAAAAAACCTTCCCACTTAGCTAATCAAAAGAATGTTTTAGTAAATAGAATGGATACATTGATCTCGATCATACTGTCCTTTAGGATTTGTGGCACCAAAAACAATTGTTCTGGTACTAAGGGTAGTTACAAGCCCAGCCTGGTAAATCAACGAAACAACATTTAGAAATAAGCCTCATACATGTGAAATATGCACACAAACTAAGAATATTCGCGGAAACGAAACATAATTTCAACTTTCTTTAATTTCTGAACTTAGATAAATGATGCGTTCTGCCTTCATAAGTGCACAAAATTTGCAATAAATGGACATGTTAGTGATGACCCTATGAAGGGGAAATTTAACCTACTACATGTATGCAATGTTTTCCATTTGTAAGGCCCTTTTTTTTATATTTCCCTTCGGTTGTCTTTGTTCCCTCTGATAAGAACACTTAGCTTCATATATCCAATACTTATGACTGCCTCTGCTCTAATAGCCTCAGCACATGAAGAGTGCCTAAGTCAGAACATAATGTTCTGCAGAGTAATTTGATACTCCAAACCTTGTGAAAAGAAATGCTATCTCTAGTGGCAGAACAAGGTGGGAGAAATTAGGCTTGCTTGATGTCTCACCACTTTCATCAGACAGTGAAGAGATAGGTTTGAAAGGAAATACAACCTTGGCAACGCTTATCGTCTGCTGCTCCATTGCCTCATGAATAGTTGCCCTGTCATGTTCCCTCATGCTGTAAAACAAGCATATCTGGTTCAGTTTAAACTGTGTCTAAAAGAGGTTAATGGTCTGCATTTTGTTTGTGGAAATGAGCTTCCTAAGACAATTCCCAATGATGTGTGTACGAACAAGGAAAAAAGACACTTTCTTATGCATCACTATGACACTATCAAAATGCTTGGATTCAGATCTTACACAATTTAGTCTTCTAAACTTCATTTCATTTCTTCATGTAAAATTCATTGCTTTCAACATTTGTCAGTTAATCTCTAGAACTCCCATTGAAAAGACTGTGATGACCTGCTGAATTTAAAACCTGCTTCCAACTTCCAAGTGGTGCCAGTTTTGACCAAATTATTTCTCCACCCCAAAAAATCATTAGAAGTTAGCTACATCATGCAAACCTCAGCCTAGACACTTTACTAGACTACATCCAAAAGTCAACTATGCTTTTCTTTCATTGGGGGTGGGGGTTGGACCTTAATAGAGCTTTTCTTGTAAAACTAGTATGGAGGGTGTATGCGAAGTATAAATACATAAGTGACCTCGACTAGCATATCAATATGGTCAAGATGATGGAACTGCTGATCAAGCAAAAAGCAGAGAACCTATCAAATTCATCGATGCAACAAAGTCCTCCATCTGCTAAAACAAGGGCTCCAGCTTCCAGCATCCATTCACCTATACAATGCATATATAAATTTATTTTTCAACTTGCTGTGTTTAAAACATGGATGGCTAACAATGTATCATCAATTACAAAACAAAGGATATTGTACGGTGCCAAATGGACCGAGAGATGGACGCAGCTGTAACTATACTTGCACTTAAAATGCAAGCTTTCTACAGCAATCTTCTTACTGGTGTACAGCACATAACATGAAAATCATGATTAACATCAGAAGTAATAGTCAATGCAGGCTTTCCCATGCATCATTGAGAAGTGAAGCATACATTTGTATACCATCAGAGAACAAATCCCAGTTGAATATTTCAAGCTTCATGGCTTTATCATACTATATAACGGAGAAACATCAATTAGGTAATTAGAACGCCCTGATGCTTTGGCATCCTGTCAACACAGATGTTTAGCAGGTAACCAGGTAGAACTGTTTATGTCATTATCATCAGATGGGGGCTAATTGAGTAATGCGCCATTTGAGAAATGCATCTTACCAGCTTTAATCTTAGAGGAAACACTAGATTTTAAATATGTTGTAATTTTGTGTTCTATACAACAGTTTTGTCCAACAACTCTGATAAAGAATATCAGCTTTTTCATCAATGAAAAATATAATATCCATTCTTTCAACTACGACGGATTCACTTTTACCATGTTAAAATATAACTCACAAGACAAAATTACCTCCATCCTTGACAGCAGTGACAGTCAAGCCTGCACTAGTGCTCCCCAATCCAGTAGTGATGACGGATCGGTTGCTTAACTTCGCAGCAAATTTTAAGAACTGAGACTTGCCAGTACCTGTAGATCACATATCACCTGAGTTTTACTTTTTCGTCGATCAGGACAGTTGCCCCTTCTAGAGTATTAGTTATGGGAAGGCTCAATTAATTTGATGAAATTTCTAACGCAGCTTGGGTAACTTTTCCAAGAATGCAACCTAAAGATGCTGACAATCTTGCTAGTTATCCTAGATGAATAACTGCTATATAAAGACAAATCAAAAGAAACATCAGAGACAAGTGTTGAAATTTTACTTCTGCAGAGCCTCATTTGGCAAACAGATCTCTAGTCAAATATTTTAGAGATAAAAACAACTAAGCTTAGGGTTTAACAACTAATGTTTATCAGACATGAGTCACGTGACGAAACAAAAGCAATGACAATGAAGGATTCATGTTCTGCAAATTAACCAGAGATGCAGGCTGGCAGAAAAAGGTAGGACAATTATCACCTGGATCCCCAACCAAAAGTAAATGAGATTCTCCTCGAATCTTAGTACCAGATGCATCAACATGTTGCACTCCCCCAATAAGTGTCAGTGCTACTATAAAATCAAACTGCCAATGTAAGACTCCAGAAAGGAATGTTAACCAAGCAACACTATTCAAAACAACACTTACCAGCAAGCTTCACAGTAAAGAGTCCAAACACCTGGGGGCAAACACCTCGTAGAATGGTGTTTCTACCTGATTCGGGATCAAATTACCTTAGACATTGTTGCAGAAATAAACAGTAAACCATATGGAAACTATACATGCAATGCCGCAGAAAGAAGCCTGGGGGCTTAATATCGAACAGCTAAGTTTACTAAAATTAAAGAAAACAGCAAAATTTCTTATCTACTATATCTGGTGTCCAATAAGAATACATCATAAGTTACAGTACAGTACCTTTCAAAGGTGCATCTTTAAAGTCTGACCAGAACTGTTTGAATGTCATCATAATATCATTAGGGATGTCAATGTCTGATTTCAGCTCATTGGTTCGCCTAAATGAAGGAGATGTCGAAAAACCATATTCAACAACAGAAAAATATCTGTAACAAACTTTTACTATGAACTAAAACAGTGGTGCAGCTTGTAGCTAGTTTTGATACCATAAACAAGATGATGTTGCTATGCAAGTAAATATATAGGAGCAACATTAGGAAGTTTGCTACATGAGGTAAATGTGACACCGCCAGTTAAAAAATATGACAACTAAGCCACAGTAAAATGAAAGATATGCAAGTCACCCATCATCTGTATCTAGCACAACCGACAAATGAGAAGTTTTCAGTACATCAACAACTATTAACATAAACAGGTTCTGCTCAACAAATTTAAGTTCACAAAATAAAATGAAGTGAGATTCAAATTATAATAACTAGCCAACCTGAGGTGAGATTTGAGTATCTAGTCGTGATACCTAAGAAACCAAAATCCATATGCCTTCACTTACCGAACATTATTAGCAATTAACACAGGGTCCAGGTTACTGCGGACATCTTTTAGGTCAGGAGACCACTTTGCGGTCAAAAGCCCAGTAACAATCACATCACCTGCATCACAAAAAAAAATCATGCATCCTTAGGGAACTACGAGCCTGAATTCTGTACAGAGCAAGAAAGCAAGTCTAAGTTAAGGAAAAGCATCTAGGCAGGGCTTATGTGCAGAGGCCTTCGCACAGAAATTCAGGCAAACTGAAGATATGCAAGCTGACTTCACATGTTTATCAAAAGAATACGGAATTGAGTCAAATGCCAGGGAAGAAAACAGTTCAGTACCCCAAAAGAAACCATAAAATAATAAGCTTCCTAGAATCTTACCCCCAGCTTTAACCACGTCAACCAGATCATCCATCAAGATGACTGAAATTGAACGAGGAATTACACCAACACCCAACACCTGAGTACTTTCTTGGATTTTAATTTCCTGGTAATCGTGGCAGATTGTAGTTTCATCTACACAGTCAAACCTTGTCCCTTCACAGGGCTTGGGTCTCTGTCATTGTAACATTGAACCAGTGAGTTAAAGTGCAAGATAAGTAAACTGAAACTATTACATTTACTCATTATTCATAATCAATATGTTACTTATGCATCTTGCAATGAGTTTAAGTGCAAAATAAGAGACATCACACATGCCTATGTCACTTAATCACATGAAGAGAAGTAAAAGCTAACTTTATCAGTTAAATCCTGAGGATCCTATGTGCGTAAAACCAAAATATCATAATGGAACTGGGGATAACAAACATGCAAATACAAAATCCATATAATATATGGACAATAAAGTGCCTTTTCCGACTACAACATCAACTTGCCATGGACTGTATATAAAAGTTAGGAAGTTCATTATGAGCACCAACTAGCTAAATACGTCAACGAAAACAATTGAATCAGTGCACCAATCTATGATAGATTACAAACCTCTGACGGGCAAAATGATGGCAAAGCTATGGTGTTTCTGGACTCCAGCTCAGGATAAACTGGGAACCTAAAAATTTTAGTGACAGATAAAAATAGAAATAAGAAAGAAGGGAGAACTGCACTGTTGCCTATCCTACATTTATTGTAAACATTACAAATCTTGACCAAACAGTAGTAACATGTACATATGAATCATCCAACATAAAAACTTGGTCGATGAATTTGCTTTCCTATTTCGCAACAAACTTTTTCAGGAAAGCTTGCACTGCTGGAGCCTAAACTTTGCACGATATGTATTTCTTGGTTCAATCAAATCCAATTATAATATCTCCATCACATAAGAGGATAAATGTTTGAAGGGTGTATGTTGGCTTCTATCTCTTGGACTGCTGTATATTAATACATGGCCAGACATACAGCATCTGCTTTCTATTACCTCCAGTATCCCCCGGAATTCCAGGAATCCGTGCTAGAAATATTGTAGCAGGAAGTCAAACTAAAAAGACATTGGGTGACTGACCAAAATGCTTGCAACTAAGTTTAATATAAAAGATGACTTCCTCTCAAGGCACCGAACTACTATATTCTAACACCTACAAGGTCTCACACTGTACTACCTCCAGCCTTGCCAGCAAACCAGAGCCTAGGCACTTAAAAATGAACAACTTCAAGTATGCATTTTCTGGAGTATTCAGAAGATGAAACTCACTCATGTTTGCATTTACGACACCGATACATCCTCTCGCCTTCATACATCTTCACTGCTCCTGAACGGATAACAGTTCCCTTGAGGGTCAGTAGAATCCCTCTGTGTCTCACCCTCACATGTCCAATGCGTGGAAACGTGTCTACAATATGCATCCCACAGAAAATATATCAAAATTAACATGATAATTACAAGATACTGAATGAATATTTGGGTAAACTGAAGGAAGATTAAAGCAACAAAGAGCAAACCAGAGAATTCAAGTGGAGATCCATTGACATTAATACGAACATGAATGAACTTCTTCTCGGTCCCTTTCTCACCAGCATCCAGATTCTCGAGGACGATTTTCTGTAAGAAACCTCATAGAAGGAGAATTATCTGATTATACCATTGCAACCAGTTAAAGGAAGAATCAAATAGATGCACATGAACAGAACAGAATATATCATATATTTATTTCCCGAGGACATAGCTACTCTGAGATTGGCAACAAAGTTTGAGTTTCAATTCACCTCCTGGAGTTTTTATAAGAATGAAGACAGAGAAAAAATTACTTCAATTCTATGATTCCAGGAACTAATACTGCCAAATGCAACGTCTTGATATCTTGTCCCACCAGCCGCACTCATTTTATAATCAAATTGGAAGGAGATTAGGCCAAAGGAGCTCAAATGGCTTTGTTCTAGTTAGAGAATCACAAACCAAAGAATCTGAATGCGATTAAAGCCGAAGAAGAATGCTAAATAAAAAGACCAATTCAACTTGTATCCCCAAAATGCACAAAATAGCCAGGACCTAATCACAAACCCACTAGACTCACATACATGAGCCCATAGAGCTGCTTTGTCAAAATGGAGCAGGTACTCAGCGGGCTGAGAGAAAACCAGGCTGGCAACCGGAGGGTTTTCGTCAAATAGCTCTGCAAAACTAAGAGAAAGGAGAAGATTCAAGAAAGCGATTCCAAGTGAGGAACCTGGAGAAGAAATGAGATCCTCCTCCAAGGGTTTTGAAGCATCGTACTCGATGTGGAGAGGATAATGGAGCTTGGGATCGGGAGACAGGACTATCGACCGGAGTTGCCGTGAGTGGTGGCGTATCAGAAACTCAGCCATTGCTTTGGCATAGTCCAGCTCCGGCATCTCCACGGGGAATTAGACAGATAGAAGCCGGCCAGTAAGTAATGCCTGACAGAAAACAGCAGCGAGATACTGGAGACTGGAGAGTTGGGGAGGATTTCGGCGGGAACTGGAGTGATACTTGGGGAGTAAAAATTGGGAGGTAAAATACTGATATAGTGATATTTGTCGTCCAAATATTAAATAAAAATACTTTTTTTTACCCTTCCCTCATTTTAAAACTCTAACTCTACCACAACATTTTCCACTCCATGTCCATCCCCATTTCCATCCAAAGCTGCTCTTCTCCCTCCCCACAACCATCATCAACAAAGGGACGTTCTAAATGATGAATGTGATGACTCATGTTTGTGGAATGTGTTTTCCATTTGAAACACATTTTTGGTATGGCATATAACCCACTTCTCTCAGTGCTGCCACCACTCTCGTTTCACGTATTGCAGCTGATTCGGATCTAATTGTACACATTTTGCCCATCATTTCTTGATAGTTTGACTTTGCATTTCATCATTTCTCGACATTTTTCATGCTAGTTTGTGCTTGTTTTGATACATTTCAGGTCATAGCACGTGTGGAAGGGTCGAGTACGAGTTTCGGGACGATTGGAGGTCAAAAAGCGCAAAAACTGAAGAAAAGTCCAAAGTAGCAACCGTGACAATTGCCCTGTGAAAGTAAAGTGCAGGCGTCCAGGAACCATCCGCAGTTCACGGTCAGAGCTGCGAGTTCACGGTCAGAGCTGCGAGTTCACGGTCGCCAGGACCGTGAACTGGAATCACAAACCGTGAACAGAGAAGCGTCCAGAGGGGTTCTAGAGGTTTTGGACGATGACACGCCAAAACACAACACCAAACTGCGACCAAGTTTAATCGCAGTCCGGGAATGCAGTAACAGGCAAGTTATATTATCAACCCGGGGTCTAGATCTACTGCTTACTCCGTGATTCTCTATTATCTAGCAAACTAGTTCGAGTGATTGTTGTTTAAAAGCAAAAGCAGTAAGAAAGCAGTAAACTGTTCGGTTTTCTAAGGCAGGTAAGAGTCACTTGGGAATGAGTCCCCCTAGCCCCTTAGTTAGGTTCAATTGCAATTCCCTGGGTTGATTTACTGTTGATTAGACTGCGGAAGATCCGACAGTAGCTTGGAATCTCTTAAGCTGACCAAGCCCTCTCAGTCTAACTACCCGGCAGACGACTAATCTTCACCGGGATAGAAAGCTGAGGCTATGAACACAGAACTCCACTACTGGCGCCAAGAACACCAGTACAAAGCAGTAAACTGGCTAACTCTCGTATAGCCAATCTCCTACTATCGAATGAAGAGGCTCTAACAACCTAATCAGATTCTATCTATCTCAGGTTGAAGCAGAAATTGAGACAAGCTGATCAGACTCAAATCAATTCATTAAACATGCGTCATTCGATTAAAATCAAACAACAATATCATCCCAAGTCATTACAATCAAATCCCTAACACAAGGAACTAGGGTTCTTCATACCCAAGTGAGAGAGAGGTTCTACTCCATAGAGAGAGAAGAGAAAACAGAAATCAGAGTGGTCATACTCATAAAGATGAGGAAAATCTGCTCTGGGATGTCAATTTTCACTCCTAGGGACGCAATCTGGGCTTCAATGATGAGAAATCCACTCCAAAATAGCTCCTAGGGTTTGTTCTTCGCTCTTTCTCTCTCTAAAACTCTGTTTTTGCCCAGAAAATCGAATTCCCTTTCCTTGGCTCGAATCTGCCTCCAAAAACCCGACTCTGGGCGAATTACGGGCAGAATTACGGCCGTAATCACTTCCTGCCCGTAATTCACACCAAAACGCACGTTTCGCTTAAGCTGCAGGAGGAGGAGGTACGCCCGTAATTTACAAATTACCGCCAGTAATTTGGGAATTACGGCCGTAATTCTTGGGATCTTGCCCGTAATTTTATCACCGAGAGGGAATTCTGGGGAGAAGGCTCGGCCAATAAATTACGGGCATGCCCTGGCCAATTACGGCCGTAATTTGGCAGGGGCTGCCCGTAATTCTGTCTCCGCTCCTGTTCAAAGCTTCGTTTCTCCCTCGTCCGGACTCCAAATCAGTCGCCGTTTGAACCCAGACGCTCGTAGTCTCGTCCTCTTTTTTTTCATGACAAGCTTGCATGATTCTTTGTCCATAAAGTGAGGTAGAAATCCATTCTTCTTCAGGTCATACCCGAGTTTCTTCTCCCGAATCGTCAATTGATCTCTGATTGACTTTAAACTTGCGCCTATGCTTCACTTTATGTGCTAGGACCTGAAATGTGACAAAGGAACACAACCTAGCGTAAAATAGGCCAAGGAACAATCAATTCGAGCCAAAATGGGCAGGAAACCAGAGTGAAAACACGTGCAAATGCGATGCTATCAAATTCCCCCACACTTAACTGTTTGCTTGTCCCCAAGCAAACCAAGTACTACACAAGGTAAACTCACATATTTCAGTCAACCAACATTGGGGACAAGTCATAAAGGCACAGAACTCGTGAATCAAACTGGTTTTCAAACACCAACACATGAACAACTTTAATAACAACCTGGACAACCACCACAAAGGACATTCGAGTGCAGCAAATCGAGTAAAGGAAGAGTCTTCCTTCTGTGCACCAACCAACCCAGACTTGACTCAACCACTTACTCAAAACAGTCAACTCGTGCATCCAACTCAAGACATCAGAATAGAGACCGAGCAATCTAGGTCCTCACCGGGGTACAAGAGCATATAGAAAATGAAAATGAATCACTCACTCTCGACCAGTGGGGTCAGGACAATTTAATGCGAAAAATGCGCATGCTATTTCTCTCAATCCCTAACATCTCTTCACCATGATGGCAGCCTCTAAATGCTAGAGTTCACATATGGGATGTCATCACTGACTAATCAGGAGGGCTTAGACACAGGTTCAAATGACTGGCTAGGGTCTTGGACATGGGGAAAAGGCCTTTTAGGTGGTGGAAGTATTCATAGCACAAGGTTCCACATTTTCCAAACACACAATCACAGTCAAACAAACCGGTATTTTCTTTCTGCTATTCTGCATTACTCAATATCTTAAGATCACAAGAGCGAAGGAGGCATAAACATCAGCATTTCCAAGCCAGACTGCTAAGAAACACTACTTAATGGGCATTATTCAGATTTTTGGTAGTGGCTCTCTTTTGCTTTCAATTTTTCTTTGTTTTTCTTTCATTTTTCTTTTCATTTCTTAAGAGAGCCACCACTCCTGCACAGATTTCAAACACCTGCCCAACTTTTAAGCACTACCTCCAACACTCACATAGACTTTAGCAGAAACAGCAGAGGAAATGTAAAAACCACTCTGTGGAACCTTCTAAAAGATGCAACAAGGGTGATTTTTTCATTATAGACCAAAAGAAAGGATAACACACGGCTCAAAGGGGCTGACTAGGGGATATGACACGTCAGGACAGTCAGTTTTTGGGCGTGGGCTAATCCTATGCCCCCATCATTTTAGCTAATGACAACGTGAATGCTACACATCATGGAAGAGGGATCTATCGCACAAGAAAGAAACGAGCAGGCTCAAATCTCACATGGCTACCTATATGCTCTATCTCACATTCTGATACCCTGAACTAGATGCATAAACGACTGTCAAGAACAAGTGATCAGATCAAGTCACAGTTGGTAAGCAAACAGCTGAAAAACTGAACCCCTACATCGTTCTACTGCACATCTCAGTCCTCATTATAGGTTGTCCTAGTCACAAACAAGTTGTCATGCATTAATCCGAAAACCGTTCAATTCATCAATCAAATCACAGTGCCAATATGATCAAACAACGGTACTTGGAGCCCTCAAATCGTAAGATTCGGACAGCGGACTAGGCTCCAAGCACACAGACATATATTCCAACCGATACAAAGCACCCCCCCACACTTAAGCACGACATTGCCCTCAATGGAGTAGAGGGAAAGATAAGGGGAACGATGTTACCAGATTGAAACACTGTTGGGGGACTGGAAGTGGACCAGTCAGCGGGCTAGCATCAGCAAAACACACTGGGTGATAGAAACCATAGTTCCAAGTGGACAAACCGACAAAAACAAACGAAAGAAAAACAAACCTTGGTGGGGTTGCCTCCCCACAAGCGCTTCTTTTACGTCTTAGCTAGACGGTGGCTCCTAAGTTTCGGTCCACCCCAAAACCTCCTTGAAGTTGAGGTTCTCGTCGATAATGTGGAGTCTCAAGTCACAAGCAAGTGAAGTGATAGGTGATGAAGACGGCTCGTGACCTTGAGGAATATGAAGTCTCCACTCACGAGACCTCTCCTTCGCATCTGCTCTTGTCTCATTGCCCCAAACCAGATAAGATATATTCGATTGACCACCATCGTATCCACCAAGAGGGATTGATGTTGATGTGGTCTTAGTTGGGCAAAGAGACACTGCAAATGGGTCCTTGCCAAGCAGCTCCTCGAAGTTTGGTGGAGAGATCAAATGTAACATAGGCCCGGTGCAAGCCTCTTCCACCTCAACTTCATCCTCAACCTGGACGCCAATTGCCTCCACAACCCCCCTTCCTTCTTCAAAATGTGGTCTCTCCCCTTGGAAAAGATCAAGAACTACCTCTTCTTTACTTCCTTCCTCATCCTCCACAACTTCCTTCCCCATCCTTGCTCGCTCTTCTTCTTCCAAAACAGATTGGAGAGCAAGTCGCCAAGCAATTTCTTCAATGGGATCATCTTGCCTCTCCTCGCACAGGCCCAGCATGCTACAGCATAAATGAGGAACGGTGTGATCTGCCACCAGAGGACTTTCCTGATCATGATCATCATGGGAGTTCTCTGTGATAAATTCTGTAGGATCCTCAACGCCCCCGTTGCCCTTGTCATACTCCACCTCTTCTAGCATAGTAGCAGAAAGGTGATCTTGAACAGGATGTGAGCAAACTTGCTTCACCCACTCTGTTTGCTTCGCCGAGCACTGAACAGTCTGCTCCATGTCATGGAGAAATGAGGGATCGGAAGAGGCAAGGGCTTGGATTTGAAGATCCATCTTGGAGCATGATCTCTCAGTGTCTCGAGCAAACTGCTCCACGAGAAGCCTTAATTGTTTGTTTGGATCTTCCAGTGAAGTGTAGCATGGCTCTGCAGAGTGGCCCGCGAAGGTCTCCATGGCT